AAAATTTCATGTTTTCGTTTTTAATTTAAGATTTTTTTTTTTAATTTCAACCCATCTTAACCCCCTATGTTTAATGAAATTTTTTCAAAATCAATAGGCTTTGCCCCCTTATAGTGCTTGTTTTACGGAGTTTTCTTTTTCTGAAATTTCTTTTACGTCTTTTGTATGAAACCAAAAAATTTACACATTTTTGCTCACTGCATAGTACTTACAGTTGGATACAAAACACATAACTATTCTAAAGAATTCATAGACACTAGAACAAAAAATAAAATATAAATTACAGTCGTAAAACTAAATTTTTGTTGTATTAAAATTTGTAAATAAACTTTATAACCTCAAAAATATTTTTATGCTTAAAATAATAGTAAATATCTTATCTTGGAGACAATCGTTGAATTGACACAAATTATTTATTTATTAAAGTCACAGTTTTATTTAAACACAATTTTTGAACAAACACAATTAAAATTTGAAAAAGGATAATTTCCTGACAGTAGCAGAATTTTATATGAATAAAAATTTTTTAGGTTTATTCGGTCATGTTTTTATTTTACAGCACTACATATGTTTCGGAAACATTTTTTCCATCTTCAGGTGCATTCAAAATTTAATAAAACTTGAGGACTATAAAACCACTTTAAAAAAATGTTTTTTAAATTTTTAAAACAACAGAAACCCTATCTTTCTGTTTCATCGTGTGAAGGTGTATTCGAAATAATGATTTGGTTTAACCCCAATGTATGTTTTTTTTCAATAAGTTTAAAGATATTTTCAAATTTTAACTGAATATTTTTTTATTTGACTATATTATCATGCTTAATATCCTCATATTTTGTAATAACAAAATTCCCAATATTTTACAAAAAAAAAAAATATTTTCTGAATTAGGGGTCAAAAACAACCCCCCTTGGCTTTCTATGTTTTAACTTTATATTAGGTAAATATATGTGGATTTCCGGGTAATTCACTGCGCATAATAAAAATCTATTTTTAGACCGTGTCTATTCGTACAGGTGTTGCGACGTTAGCACCTGCTTTAGTTAGTTATTTTCTTTATTTACTTGGCGTATATAGTTTCTTAGTGTTTTGTGTATGAAAAATGGCCCGCAATTATCTTACCACGGTTGAGTTAGAGCAGATAGCTAATGCAAGTGATTTTTATGATGATATAGAAGACGAAATATTATCAGAAAACGAGGATGTATTATTAGAGGATGATTCAAATCCTGAAAACAGTTCAACAGACACCGGAGAAGAAAGTGACGACGATACAAACCAAGGAGAACATATTTTGGCAAAAGATGGCACATTGTGGAATAAACAGAAACCTAAAAGGTCTAAACGTTTGGCAAGAAACATCCTTACTAAAAGGCTTGGTAGAACTAGTTACAGCTCAAATTTTACAACTAAGGCGGAAACTTTCAAACTTTTTTTTCTGATGAAATTATAGATGTTGTCATTCGAGAAACTAATTAGTGATTTTTTTCAAATTTCTTAACTTCTAAGTTCAGACTTATATTTTTACTTTCTTTTCTGGTTAATTGGAAATAGATATTTGTTTTACTAATGTTTATTACGTCATCCAATATAAAAATATAAGCATTCAATTATGAATAAATGATTTTATTTCCTAAAAAAATGAGGCCCTTTTTGACCCCCGTTGGGCATCTGTGTATAAAAAAAAGGTTGGTCATCGGAAGGTTAACACGATAACAATAAAGTAGGGAAACAAAAAGATATTTTTTTCTGCATTTGATTGGTTGTAAATATATTTGATAAAAGTTCAGCGCACAAGTATTCTGTTTAATGTTCCTATCCTTTACTCAGTTATATCTTCTGCAGTGGCGGCTCCTTGGGTGATTCACAGTGAAAGAATATAGGTATCAGTACAGATGTATCAAAAAACTTTCCGTGTTTTAGAAAGTTTATAATATACCTTTCTAAAACACTGACAGTTTTTTACCTATATCCGTACAGGGATCTATATTCTGCTACTGTGAATAAGTCCCAAAATGTTGCTCACGAGCCGCCCTTGCTCTTCTGATACAGTGAACTTTAAAATGTTTTAATTTCCTCAATTCATTTCTAATTTTTGAAATACAGGATATCTTTCAAGATATAAATAAATTAAACTGCAATGATAGTAGTACATTCAACTTTATAATAACTAATATATATAAATTTATTGTTATTAAATTAAATTCTTATTATTGTCAGTTGCATTATTTTAAAGTAAAAAACAGTGGAGCTTCACTCTTTTAAAGTACAATGTGTTTATTCGCGGACGAGAAAAAATTAAAAACAAAATTAAGGTAATTCAATTTAAATATTTATCTTTCCAAAAGTAAAATGCAAATTCTAGAGCTTCATTTACACCGATTTTATGCAAATTATCTCATCCAAATGGGAGCCAGAGCTCTTTAAAGATGCACTAAACATCAATTTAATTCAAATATCTTTCCTTTTATCTGAGTTATGGATATTTATTTTGTGAAAGATGGCCAATAGCTCGGCTTGAATCTGATTTTCTAATTGTAGTCATAAGCGGCTCGTTTGGGAGGAGTATTGGATATTTTTATCCATAACTCTTTCCTGTATGGATAGGGTGATTTACGTCCACTTGACATAAAATGAGCTTTAGAATTTGCAGTTTTCTTTCGTGAACGTTCGTGAAAAAAACAACTACCTTCTACATAAAACAAATCAGTGTGATGTTATTTTTTTTATGGAGTAACGTACACAAAGTACGTCTGTACGTCTGTACGTCTGTACGTCTGTACGTCTGTACGTCTGTACGTCTGTACGTCTGTACGTCTGTACGTCTGTACGTCTGTACGTCTGTACGTCTGTACGTCTGTACGTCTGTACGTCTGTACGTCTGTGTGTCAATCTTTGTTCTTCTTGCCAGCATTTCCTAACGTAAAATATGCAACATAAAAACCAATTATCTTTCATATTTGTTATAGCCCTCGACTTTTAAGCATCACTTAAATGTGGCATGTTCGTAAACTTATTTGACAATAAGTTTTAAGATATCTTAAATCTGAATGCGACGAAGGACTATAATGCAAAGTCTAAATCACACCATTACGATTTGGCGTTCACATTTCGGTTTCGTCAACTGTACTCTAACTATAAATTTATTCATCTATTGCTATAACACGCTGGTTAGTTGAGGTCACCATTCAAATATTTGACATTGCAGAGCACCACACATGATTTTATTAAAATAATTAAGGAATTGGTACTTTGTGTTATCAGATAAGAAAATGAAATTACACTTCACACAATTTACTTCATTTCTTAATCAAAAAGATTTGAGAAAATGTAGTTCAGTATTATAGCCATAGAAAAATACATGTTAGTGGTTTCTTGTGTTCCTTTTACTGCTACCTACTATTTCCTTACCGAAATGAATTAAATCTGTTAAAAATTTAAAATTGCGGTACAATTACAAAAAAAGAAAAACAGAACAGTGGTATATTATGATTTCTGGCAAACGAAACAAAAATGATTGCTATTACGTATTAATAAACTAATATTGGGAATCAAAAATGTCCATTAAGTAAAAAAAATCCGGTATATTTGAAATATTTCGTATTAATATAAACATTATTAAGACTTGATAGATACTTATAATTTTTTTATGGGAAAAACTATATCGTAAATAAAATGTGGTAAAATTGCCAAATCGTGATTGCTGTTCCCCACATGTAATTATTCACAGGCATAATGATATCATCTCTCATTCTTTTGTATTTCACAGATGTGAGAGTAACTAGTTCAAACTTTAAATATGCTGTTGCTCAGCAGAAGTTTCTGTGATTACCGATTAAAATAACGAGGTACGCTTTTTTTTTATTTAAAAATATAAATCTAATAATTAATCTTTTTAATCTAATAAAAATCAGTAAAAAAATAAAGTACACATTCTTACTATGATTAAATAAAGGTACCTAATTGATAAGCGATTGTTACTTGTTTCGAAAATATTAAAAACAATGATATTTTTATGTCCTATACCAGATAATAATAATAATAATAATAATTAATTAATAGTAATCCCTCGATTAAAAAGAAAAACAAACCATATACAATTAAAAAAAAAAAAAAGAGTAGAATTGAAGCAAAAGATAAATATCTGAGCTGTACAAATAATTTTAGTTAATAGTGAAGGGATATCTATATTATTTCCAATGCCGAAGAAAATACAAATATCAAATACGAATATCAAGACAAGGATGAATTCAGATTTTATATAACTTTAAAATAATACATTCATTTCAAAATTCTAGCACTCTAATTAAAACTTTTATATTTTTATTATGTAGATTCACTTTCTGAAATATCCAATGGAATATTCTAAAGAAGCTTAAAATACATTTTTATCAGTATAAGATCCCAGTATAGGTATTCTAGCAGTATTGACACTCCCTAGGCGGGAAAAAGATGAGCATATTTTACTGCACTGACGTTTTCGGGATATAACTCATCACTTGTCATAAATCCGGTTAAAAACTCGCTCTCATGTGCAGGCAACCCATATTTCTTACACAAACTACAAACTTTTGTGGGCAAAATCCCCGGGGCCCAGCAGCTTTAGCTGAGGACTTTTTTTAGAATTTTGCCACCAAAGGGAGGACCTGGTACAACAAATACAAGCTGAGGACCTTTTTTTTAGATTTTACTAAGAAGAAAGGAAAGGAGCAGATTTTGCTTGAGAACCCTTTTAGAAATTTCACACATAAAGGACTTGATTTTTTATAAAAATGCCCCTAGTTATATATAAGGGGCCCTTGCCAGTGTTTTGCAAACGGGGCCTCACCATGGCTATCGGCAGCCCTCTCTATCGAAGTAGTTTTTGTAATACATTAACGGTTTAAAAACAGAACATTTGTTTTGATAGTGAATTTAGATCAAAAATACCACAAATATTATTGTACTCTCTTATTTCTGTTCTCCTCTTTTTTTAACAAATTTATTATTTTTTATTTCAGGTTTTTAGAGAAGTGAAATAAAAACTAAAAGGTGGCGAAGTTCGAGGGTAAATTTTTTTCTGCCGTCAACAATTTTTTTTCCAGCTCACCATTAGTGAATCAAATAAAAGACTTGATGGTAAGTAACTTAAGATTAATAGTAGTTTTTGTTACGAGTATAAGGACGAGAACTTTGCTATAGGCAATTCGTACGAGTGCAAAAACACACTTTTCATACGATATTTTTTATTCGAATGTGTTTATAAATATTAAAAAAATAAAAAGAAAATTAAATCTGAAATATTAGGCATTCCAAACAAATGAAACGCGGTTTGGCATGTCTAAAGGGTTATGACATATAATGTAGCTTATTTACAATATGTGAAATCATAAATAATTGATTAAATTTAAATATTTTATGTCGAACACAATAAAAATATTATTTAAAAACAAAACCGCTTATACATTAACAATTGACGTATTCATAATCGACTATTTATATTATAGGTTATTATAGGTTACAATTTTCTTTGTATTATGGTGATGTAAAATTTATTTTGATTACATCCCCTTATTTATTATTAAGATTAACATTTTTTTAATTACAATTTTTGCGATAACTAAATAATTAGGAAAAGACGTCTATGTACTTATGTTCTTTTTTTTTATTTTTCACTTTTAAATTAAAACTGTTTTTGCTAACCGTTCAAGAAAGTGATTCTTAAATGAAAAGAATCCTGTTAATAGTTCAATTCAATAAAATTTAGAAATGAACACGTTATTTTCTATTTTATTATCATCTCTTTTGACCAAAATAAAAAAGAAATAAACAAGGGCACAGGGTTATTCATTATAAAGTTTTATGCCGTGAAATTTGCACGCTACTGTCTTCTTGATGGCATATTCGATAGTAACGATAATACAGAGTGAGTCATTTATAATGAATAACCAACGACGAACAACTACTAGATTAATTTTGTTTACAAAAACCGAATTGCAAGTAGGGGAGAGTTGGACAAAACGGGATAGCTAACGTTATTTGACCCGTAACTCTCTAACTGGGCTATTGATATCTGCTGTTTCTTAAATGTAACGTCCTCATTGATCCCTTGCTATGTTTAGGAACAGTTATTCCTGAATAGCTTGAAGATAACATAGAAAAAGTCATATAAAAAAAAAAAGGTAAAGTATCCCGTTTTGCCCACCTGGTCGGGTAAAATGGGATGGTGATTAAATACGAATAGAAAAGTATATTAAAATAAAATTTATTTAATAAAACTTGAAAAGAGAAACATTATGAGTTTTATATTTATAATTCGAAACCAATTAATGGTTTATCACCGACAAAAATCGCACGAGTACGGCTCACCATCGTTCTCAACACCGGCGCAAGCTTCATGAGCCCAAAGTTTACAGTCCTGGCACATTACCCAACCGTCGTTTGTCTTAGAATTAGAATATAATTCTGTGCAATAAATGCAAACTTCGTCGTCCTCCTCCTTTTCTTCTGAACTGCTGTCTTCTTTCTTTTTTCATTTCCTTTCTTTGGCTTAGTGACACATTTTTTATTTTTTCCTTTGTTGTTCTTTACTTTTTGATTTTCCTCCAAGTTCAGTTTGGGTTTCTTGATAGGCTTGTTCACTACAGATGTTTCCAGTTCTTCTTTGTAAGGGGTTGAAGTTAGCACAGCCGATTTTCCTCTCCTTTTATCGTTAGGATTAATTTTTCTTTCTGCGTGAGGAACTGGAACTATTTGTTGAGGTGTTACTTCAAATTTCGTGATGGTGTATGAACAAGAGGGGGTCGCATTTGCATCGAAATCTCTGCTAGAAACAGGAGGAGGAGTATTATACAAATTTTCTTTACTTTCAAGTATCTGGGGCGTTTTTTGTGGTGTAACAGGATCTGGAGGCAATGCCGGTGTTGTTGCGGAGTTGTCAACCTTTTCTGCATCATGCCTTTCTTGCTCTTCACCTGCAACTTGGTTTTGTGATAATCGCCATAAAACAAGCTTTTGTGTTATCGGTGATGGTGTATGTGGTGGAGGGCGGTTAGTATTTTCTTCAATTGGACCAGTTCCATTATTGTTCGTCGGTGTGTCTGTTGTTTGAGCTGGCTCAAACATCCAGTCTTCAAATATTTCTGGATTGAAAGGTTGAATGCCTGTCTTTCTAAAACCATTCACAGCTGTTTGGATGCTAGCAGCTTTCATATATGCATTACCGAAAAGCTTGCCTATTTGGGATATCGTAACTGGTCGACCTGGATGTTGCTGCATCCATTTTTGAACTTCTGACGTATAATATGAGCTAAGTGGTGACATGAAACTGACGTCTAGCGGTTGTAAACGATGCGTGGTATGTGGTGGAAAGCAGAGCATTACAACACCGCTAACTATAGCTTTCTCTATAACGTCTAATTTTTTTGTGTGGGTCGTATGTCCGTTTAAAAGTAAGAGGACAGGATGTTCTTTGGAGGGCTTGGAAAACTCAATAAATTGATTGAACCAGTTCGAAAAAATCTCTTTTTGCATCCATCCTGAAGAATGATAAAAAGCTTTACTTCCAGGAGGAGCATCATCTAGCAGCTCCGGCTTAGCTCTGTATCTAGAAAAAATGAACGTAGGCGGCATAAATACACCAGTAGCACTCATGCAAATTTCCACGGTGACAAGAACGCCGTGTTCAGCTGAAGATATACACCCAACTTGCCTTTTCCCACGCAACGATAAGCATTTCCATTTCGGTCTTTTCTTTGGCACTGTCATTATACCCGTCTCGTCGACGTTGTAAATCCGTTTGGGTGGTATTTTATATTTTTCAAGCACGTCAGACAGCAACGAAAAATATTTTTGTACGGCAGGTCTATTAAAACACATGGTTCTAGCAAGTGATGTTGGCTCAGGGGTGCGAAGTTTAACTTTTGGATGTCTCTTTAGAAAAATGTATAACCAAGCTTTACCAGCCATTTTTTTGTCTCTGTTAAATTGATTAGCTAAGCCATTGCGTTGAGCTAACTGAAAGGCCAAACTTCGAAAGTCATTCAAACTAAAACCAAGCAGTCGTGATTCCATAGACAAAAAGTGTCGCACCAACTCTTCTTCTTGCTCCATAGAGAAAACCGGTCTGTGACGCCCTAGTCCCTTTTTTGCTGAGTTCTCTCGTTCGAGAGTCCCATTTTTAATTTTTTTTACTCTGGCTTCAATAATTGTCCGAGGTACCCCAAATTGTTTCGAAGCCTTAAGATACCCCATTCTTCCTTCGAGAACCTCTTCCACCGCCTGGGGCATACTTTCCTCATTCCAAGACTGCCGTTCAGTTTTTCTTTTATATTTTCCCATCTTTTAACAAGCCTGTAACAAAAGTAAAGTTTAAATTTCTCGTGAAAATCTATATAGTTTCTTGGTTGGACTAAACGGGATAGTATCCAGTTTTATCCGACCGCTTGGTATCCCATTTTGCCCAACTGCACATTCCAAAATGCTTTTCAAAGTTTTTCAGAAAAAAAAATAGTTGTCATAATCACAAATATCGCAAAATACAGTCAATTATCTACAAAATCACAAAAAATACTTACCGTTATTTATTTTGCTTGTTTAAAATAAGAAACACTAAATTAACCGCTAATAAAACTAAATAGTATAACCTCATTTTTTCAAACTGCCGTTGTCACTCACTACTGAACAGCAGTTAATGAGAATAAACACTTCATACATTCAAGCAAACGTTATTGATAGTGATTAACGCCACGACTCGTTAGATAGCGCTGCGTATTCATAAATATTGGCCGATATCCCGTTTTATCCGACTATCCTGTTTTGTCCAACTCTCCCCTATTCAGGATATTCAGGGGTCACGTAGCTGCCAAATTATTATTATTATGGAAGGGTATGGGTGAGTCTTGTTACAGGAATTTTTTATGGTTAGAATCCGAAATTGACAACATAAGGCCTTTAAACAAGCTTCAAAAATTAGATTAAGAAAGTGTATTTGCATTCTTGGTGCCAGTTATCATGTAATGCCGGCCTTAGTTTACAAATATTAAAATTATACTTAAGCCTATTTTAAACTTAATAACTAAGGCCGGCATTACAATCATGTGTTTCATGTATTTTTCTGGTTGCAGCTATTATTAAAGCTGAAGGTGATTTACACCATTTATTTACAGTTTAAAATCGTAGTAGTATAATCTGATTCATTCGCAAACCGCTTGCTTCCATCTCAACAAGCTCGCACAAACCATCCTCACTCAATTTAGCAGTTGTCTTTCTAATGCTGCAGCCGATGCGACATTTTTGTCTGCCTAACATAAAACACGTCCAGTAGTTTTTCGTCGTTCTGAATCCCTATACCTAGCGACATTTTTATAATTTAAGTAAACTTGCAGTTACAATTTTTAAATACGTTCTCCCTTATAAACTTAAAACGGTTTATTTGGTACGTTGTCAGAGTTTTATGTGACAAACAAAAAACATATAAAAAATATTTATAACTAATAATAGTCCATGAGCGTAGAACTTGATTTTTTAATAATTGCACATTTTTAATATCCACGACAATAGAAGAAAAGGGTATTTAATTTGGATTGCGTAATTAATTTACTACATAAAGGATAATCTTGACACTACTCGATTACTCTCATGGTTTTGGTGAAATTCTGTATTTTAATAATTTAGAGTAAAGGTTTTACAAAAAAAAAAGTTTACTAAATCATGAGTACAAATAACAAAGATGTCATTAAAACTGTTTAAAGTCTCACCATTTATATATAGAAATTAGTTTTGTTATTTTTTGTCCGTACTTACTGGTTTATGAGGAATAATCATTATTTACCTGTACACAAAAAATTATTTAAATAAGAATAATTTTATGATCCTAGTAGAATTTTATGTAAATAAAAATTTCCTTGGTTGTGTCGGCCATAAGTTTCTATTTTTTATTTTAGACTGCACAACATATGTTTCAAAAAACAATTTTTTTTATCTTATGTTGCAATCAATATAATTTTAAAAAACATCGTGAGGCAAAATTTTTAGAACCACATTATATTTTAAATACACGTACACACGCTAAAACTAGAGCATGGGGTTTCAACTGTTTTAAATTTCGCCAAAACCATATAAGTAAACGAGTATGAACAAGAGTATCTATTTTGTAGTAAATTAGTTACGCAATCCAAATTTGATGCTTAAATCCCTTTTCTTTCATTGGCGTAGAAATTTTAAATGTAAAATTATAGAGAAAAAATCAAAGTTCTACGCCTATGGGTTATTATTAGTCGTAATGCTGATACTTTTTTGTCATATAAAACTGTCAACGCACCAAATTTAAATAAAATCGCATAAGCCGTTCTAAATTAGTACCGTAATCTGGCTAGAGGCTAGATTTTTGTAAAAATCTGAAAAAATTAATATAAGAACCTTAAACCTTCCTCTATCGAATACAGTATTTGTTTTTTGCATAATTCAAAAAATTCTATTTTTTTTTTTATTATTGAAAGGTGTCCGAACTCACCCCTATGGGTGGTCTAAGTTCGGATCACCTTTAATTTATAGGAAAATCCAAACTTAATTTATAGTAAGAGTGTGTTCGGACAAATATAATTAAATATACATGTATACAGATTTCATAAAAAAATTTCTTAGGGGGGATAGGGGGTCCAAACACAATTTCGATACGAACAATTTTATTTAAAGTAATAAAACTCAAATATTTTTCCAAAAAAACATAAAAACATTTAAAAACACGTAATAACTATGTTATTAACCAAGAACATAAACAATAAAACTAAAATAAGTTTCCAAAAAACATAAAAACATTTAAAAAAACACGTAATAACTATGTTATTAACAAAGAACATTGCAATAAACTCATTATTCTATTTTGATGTTGTCGGGAAGGTGCTTAAAAAAGTGCCTTCCTCTTCTTATTTCTTTTAGAAGAATTTTTTAAAAAATATCTTTTTTAAACGCAAGTCCCTCATCAGAAATATCGGGAAATATAAAATAATTATTTTTTTGGCCTTTTATTCTAAGATATTTTACTAAAAAAAGCTCTTCCTTTATATCAACAATTTTATCTATAAGACCAACAAAATATCGAAATTTTTTTTGGTCTTCACAAGGAACGGAAACTACAACGAAATCTCCCACTTCAATGAGATTTTGATCAACTTCTGGTTCTCTCTCATAAGTGCTGGTAGAAGGTTGCTCAAATACAGACATTTCATTTTCGTCTTCATAAACGTTTTCTTCCTCTTCTACGCAAATGTTTTCCACATCACTCTCCTCAAAAATGATATTTTCTTCTTGGGGAAGATCTTCTGTTCTCACACCTTTTCCAGGGGCAACATTCAGCTTTTTACCCCTCCTCGGTTTTTCGCTTTTTTCCTCACATCTACAGTCTTTTAAATATTCGGAAAAACTTTGGCTCCAGTGATCATTAGCATTGTCCTTTTCTGCTGTCTTTCCGGGCAACTTTTCCAAAACTATTTCAGCGTTTAATGGAACAATTCCACAAGCTCTAAAACCAGATTTGATATTTTTGTCGATATTCGGGCCCAAAGATTCTAAAGTTTTCTTTAAAAGACGAAGAAATTCTGATTTAGGCAGGACCCTTTATTTTTCATTTTCCAATCAGTCATTTTTGCACGCCAGTGTTTCTTCATGGGGCCAAAAAACGCAACAGAGGTTGCAGCAAGTGGGTGGCATATGGGGGTAATAAAACGAAATGAATGTCGTTTTCTTCACATTGCTTAATCACAAACAATGACAAGTGATTGGAAAGATTGTCGCCAATTAACAACTTTCGCCCTTCTAACTTGCGGAAATATGGCAAAACCACTTGTAAAAACCAGTCTTCAAATATTGGTGTCTCAAACCACCCACTTTTCGATCTACTGTATTCAGTGCCTTCTGGGCCCCTTCTATCCAAGTTGGGTAAATATGAAGAGCTCGGTATACGACATACGGAGGCAGCAAAACACCTGAAGCACTAGCAGCCATCATAATTGACGTGTTGCTTTTAGAAGAATCAATAATTCTATTTATATGTTTGGATCCTTTTTTACCAACGACCTTTGATCTTCCAGGATCGTCAGTTAAATTGTATTCATCATAATTAATTATGTTCTCTGGAGGAATAGGTCCCATAACAGCCTGAAGGTTATCAAAATATTCTTGAACTTTTTGCCTATCGACTTCTGCTCTACTCCTCTTGATATTTTGTGCAAGGCGCTCCGATAAAATTTTATGTCTAAACATAAATCTTCCCCGGGCATGTTGTCTTTAAATCCTGTGATTTTTGTTCCGGATCTGTCCAAATATGATTTGACGATTAGGCGAATATCCAGCCTAGTTAAGGGAAAGCCCCATTCGGCGGAAGTTAAAATTCCTTGTGCCAGTTCACTCTCTTGTTCTTGGCTTAATTTGGTTTGCCCGCCACTTTTTTTAGCGTGCTTACCTGTCATTTTGTCATTTATTGTCGATTTTGGTATGTTGTAGAACTCTGCTGCCTCCCTCAGGGTCTTCCTTTTAGTCCTGACATCTTTAACAGCTTTAAAAAGCCTCTTTGGCATAGTTGGATCTTTGTTTTACGCCAAGAGGACGCCTGTAATTTCTGGGTATGGTGTCCGAACTCGCCCCACGAAAAGCTATATTTTTTCTATAACAAGAAAAAAAATTCGGGAATGAAAAAATAAATGATAATTATTCATGAATCATTAGAAAACATATAAACCTACATTATATGAAAAATTACGATTCAATTGCTTACAGATCCCTTCCCCCAGATGTTTGTTTCTAACGTTATAAAAAATATGCAAATTACGACCCATATCAAAATATCCCGTACTTACCACAAACTTTCTCTAGCAGCAATTTCTACCTAACTGGAGTGAAATGAGACAATATGGGACATGTAAACACATGCAAAAAACTTCGCCAATGAAAAACGTGCTCGTGGTCACGTGATTTCCCACGCCGCGCACCATTGTCCGAACTCGTACTACCTGTCCGATCTCACCCCAGATTACGGTAATCGAAAATCTTTAAAAATTGTAGCTTCAGAGCCGTCCGCTAGGGCCCAACCTGAGTAACTTTGTACTAAGGTGAGTCAACCCAAATTCGACCCAAATCGTCTTACTTTTGGTCCAAGGAATATATTGTATGTTTTTGTAAAGTTTTTTTTTTCGAGATAAATCCCAGATGGTACCAGAATTATTAAATTGTATTTGGATACATAATCTAGTATTTATCAAACACTAAATGTTATTCTAGACAAGACAGTCACCACAGTCTGAAGGTCAAATTAGAACGACAATGTCTTATCAAAATGTTACCACATCTACTGAGGATGGTCGAAACGATATCAAAATCGAAGAAACGGAGGCTACTTCTCCTTCAGCCGATAGTGAAATTCCAAAACCAGCAGACCGTCCCAGACAGAGTTTTTCTATAAGAAATATGCCTGTTTCTAGAAGCCAAATGAAAGGTAGGTATATTTTTATTTGATTTCATTCCACATTTTTGTTTAGAAAGCAAAAAATATAGGTATTTACTTGCCTAACTATTTTTATGAATAAATGAATGGACTGAGAATGGTGCACTTAGTAAACATGAGGTTAGGTTAGGTGTGAAAGGCATACATACAAGCATTTTTGATTTTACAAGCCCATCATCATTGCCATTCTAAAAGGTGTTGCATATTAACAATCAAGTGGTAAAGAAAAAAATGTTGATGGCTAAATTTTTAAATTAAAAATAAAAAAAGGATCTCGACCAATTTGAGGAAACAAGATAATTTATTTTTTAAAATATTACATACATGCCCTACATAATATTATGTGTTGAAATACTTCTCAATTCTTTAAAATAAATTCATGATTTTTAGAGTTTCGAGAGGCTTTCAGGCTGTTCGATAAAGATGGTGATGGAAGTATAACCAAGGAGGAACTTGGTAGAGTAATGCGATCTCTAGGACAGTTTGCCCGCACAGAAGAATTACAGCAGATGCTCCAAGAAGTTGATATTGATGGTAAGATATAAACGATCTAACGATTTTTTCTCATAAAATGTGAACAAAAAAATCTCTAGAAATGTACATAACTGATAGACACCGAGAGACATGAGTTATATCCGTTGTTATTTCCCTCGCCTGTCAACTTTGATATTTTAACGAATCACAAAGCAATTTATGTTATCGTTAGACCAATCAGAATTAAATAAATTAAAATAAATTAAAATAAATAAAATTAAATAAAAATAAATAAAAATAAATAAAAATAAATAAAAATAAATAAAAATAAATAAAAATAAATAAAAATAAATAAAAATAAATAAAAATAAATAAAAATAAATAAAAATAAATAAAAATAAATAAAAATAAATAAAAATAAATAAAAATAAATAAAAATAAATAAAAATAAATAAAAATAAATAAAAATAAATAAAAATAAATAAAAATAAATAAAAATAAATAAAAATAAATAAAAATAAATAAAAATAAATAAAAATAAATAAAAATAAATAAAAATAAATAAAAATAAATAAAAATAAATAAAAATAAATAAAAATAAATAAAAATAAATAAAAATAAATAAAAATAAATAAAAATAAATAAAAATAAATAAAAATAAATAAAAATAAATAAAAATAAATAAAAATAAATAAAAATAAATAAAAATAAATAAAAATAAATAAAAATAAATAAAAATAAATAAAAATAAATAAAAATAAATAAAAATAAATAAAAATAAATAAAAATAAATAAAAATAAATAAAAATAAATAAAAATAAATAAAAATAAATAAAAATAAATAAAAATAAATAAAAATAAATAAAAATAAATAAAAATAAATAAAAATAAATAAAAATAAATAAAAATAAATAAAAATAAATAAAAATAAATAAAAATAAATAAAAATAAATAAAAATAAATAAAAATAAATAAAAATAAATAAAAATAAATAAAAATAAATAAAAATAAATAAAAATAAATAAAAATAAATAAAAATAAATAAAAATAAATAAAAATAAATATAAATATAAATAAATAAAAATAAATAAAAATAAATAAAAATAAATAAAAATAAATAAAAATAATAAAAATAAAAAAAAATAAATAAATACAAACTTAATTTTAACGAAATCTTCAATATACCTATTTTCTAAAAAAATAGGTAATGCCCCTTTTGGAGAATTTTGTGCCTTACATACCTTCAAAATTAGCGATGTTGTACGGAGATCATTTGGTTACCTTCATACAGTATGTTAATTTAGAAACGATTTATCAGTATTTAAAAATTAAAAATTGTCCCGGTTAATAATAAATGTATCTAGAAATCCTTTTACTAGTGTTATTTCTTTGATTTTTATTTTTCCTCATTTTGAACCAAACCGCTATGACCCCTCATAGATACTTAATTATTTATGGTTAATAAAAATGAGTGTACAAATTTTAATTTATTGTGCGCGTTTTACGCAACATAAACTACAATTCAAAGTAGTATGTGTTGCATAACTATTAGGTTGTTGGATCTCAGTAAAGTGTTGTCTCGAACTGAAAATCAAAACAAGCAATTTAAACCATTGTTTTTTACTTTCTCATGCATGATATACCATTCATATAACTCGATCCATTGAAATAATGTTTTTGTTTTCAGAAAATTATTACGGAACATGACAATACATCTTAGCAGACAGATAAAAGTAGGTATCTGTCTATGTATTGATTTTAGTTTTATGATAATTTCTTATAATTATTATCTTTTGAATGCAGAGTTTCCCAGGATAATAAAGGATCTATTAGGCATTCCAACGACCTGTCAAACAATAGCTGTCGATGGGAAGAGCTCGTATATCTAAGGGGATTGCGATTAGGGTTGCCACCTTTTTGAAAATTGAAAAAAGGACTATGATGCTGATAGAGGATCCGGTATACAAAAGTTCATCATCCTTCTACTGAACTTCTAAAAAAAGTCCTCGTACTTCTACCGAGCTTCTAAAAAAAAGGTCCACGAATGTGCAACAAAAAATTCCTCGTCCCCTTCTACCGAGCTTCTAAAAAAAAAGTTCTCAGCTTGTACAAGCCAGGTCCCTTTTAAAGAGTAAAACAGGACATATTCCGTAAAAAAGGACATTTTAAGCTTTTAAAAGTCGCAAGGACATTTTGCTTGAAAAAAAGACTGTCCTTTTCAAAAAAGGACAGGTGGCAACCCTAGTTGCGACATAGCCTCCCCAGAGGCGTAACTAGCCATCTGACCTGGGGGGCCTAGGGTGGGCCCGTTACTGTGAATTGGAATCTTTAAAAAAGTAAAACAAATATTAACTCTAAAAGGTACAAATACCAAATTATTTAAACAAATCGTTCTAATATTTTTAAAAATAAATACAAAGTAATTTTTAATATACATAACTAAACAAATAAAAACTGAATAATATACTAAACTAACTTGCTTACAAAAAAAAAAAAGAATAGCAAAACAGATTTTGGGGTCTATTCTGTAACAATTCCTTTATATTTAACGGCCTTTAAAAATATTGACGGCCTATAAAAATATGTTCGTATTCGTTAATTTACTTCTGTCATTATTTAAACAGATTTCTTTAAGATAGTCCTCTAATATATTTTAAAGATCCGTTTAAATAATGACAGAAGTAAAGAAGAAAATATTTTTAAAGGCCGTTAAATATAAAGGAATTCTTACAGAATAGACCCCATAGGGTGTTAAAGTAGAAATTTTAGAAATTAATCGAATTATTGATTATTTTAAATAATCAATTATTATCAAATAATCTATTTTATTCGTATTTCCTTTAAAATTGATTAATCGATTATCTTCTAAAAATCGAAAATAATCGAATAATCGAAAAATCCAAAATAATCGAAAATAATCGAAAATAATCGAAAATAATGGAAAATAATCGAAAATAATCGAAAATAATCGAAAATAATCGAAAATAATCGAAAATAATCGAAAATAATCGAAAATAATCGAAAATAATCGAAAATAATCGAAAATAATCGAAAATAATCGAAAATAATCGAAAATAATCGAAAATAATCGAAAATAATCGAAAATAATCGAAAATAATCGAAAATAATCGAAAATAATCGAAAATAATCTAAAATAATCGAAAATAATTGAAAATAATCAAAAATAATCAAAAATAATCAAAAATAATCAAAAATAATCAAAAATAATCAAAAATAATCAAAAATAATCAAAAATAATCAAAAATAATCAAAAATAATCAAAAATAATCAAAAATTAGTTAGTGTATTGTTGTCGATGTGGTTACTACGGAAATGAAATTATTGTAAATATTTTTGATTGGTGGAGCTACTCTATGTATAATCAGGTATTATCGAAATTATACGAGGTAACTTAACTAAATTAAACGTTCTAATTGGTTAAAAGTTATACGAAAAAAATAATCGAAAATAATCGAAAATAATCGAAAATAATCGAAAATAATCGAAAATAATCGAAAATAATCGAAAATAATCGAAAATAATCGAAAATAATCGAAAATAATCGAAAATAATCGAAAATAATCGAAAATAATCGAAAATAATCGAAAATAATCGAAAATAATCGAAAATAATCGAAAATAATCGAAAATAATCGAAAATAATCGAAAATAATCGAAAATAATCGAAAATAATCGAAAATAATCGAAAATAATCGAAAATAATCGAAAATAATCGAAAATAATCGAAAATAATCGAAAATAATCGAAAATAATTGAAAACAATCGAAAATAATCGAAAATAATCGAAAATAATCGAAAATAATCGAAAATATTCGAAAATAATCGAAAATAATCGAAAATAATCAAAAATAATCGAAAATAATCGAAAATAATCCAAAATAATCGAAAATAATCCAAAATAATCGAAAATAATCGAAAATAATCGAAAATAATCGAAAATTATCGAAAATAAGTAGATAGACAAAGCGGGTATGACCCCACATAGGGAATTCAACGTGTAAGAGTGAGAGGTAACCTACGAGATATGGCGTTCACGTAAACGAGGCCATTTTCATCATTTTGCGAAAAGACAAATAACCTACGAGATATGGCGTTCACGTAAACGAGGCCATTTTAGGGTCACGCGTACGAAAACGTCGAAACGGCAAACGAAAACGTCGAAACGGCAAACGAAAACGTCGAAACGTCAAACGAAAACGTCGAAACGGCAAACGAAAACGTCGAAACGGCAAACGAAAACGTCGAAACGTCAAACGAAAACGTCGAAACGGCAAACGAAAACGTCGAAACGTTAAACGAAAACGTCGAAACGTCAAACGAAAACGTCGAAACGGCAAACGAAAACGTCGAAACGTTAAACGAAAACGTCGAAACGTCAAACAAAAACGCCAAACGTTTCGACGTTTTCGTTTAACGTTTAACGTTTTCGTTTGCCGTTTCGACGTTTTCGTTTGACGTTTCGACGTTTTTCGTTTAACGTTTCGACGTTTTCGTTTGCCGTTTCGACGTTTTCGTTTGACGTTTCGACGTTTTCGTTTGCCGTTTCGACGTTTTCGTTTGCCGTTTCGACGTTTTCGTTTGACGTTTCGACGTTTTCGTTTGCCGTTTCGACGTTTTCGTTTGCCGTTTCGACGTTTTCGTACGCGTGACCCTAAAATGGCCTCGTTTACGTGAACGCCATATCTCGTAGGTTATTTGTCTTTTCGCAAAATGATGAAAATGGCCTCGTTTACGTGAACGCCATATCTCGTAGGTTACCTCTCACTCTTACACGTTGAATTCCCTATGTGGGGTCATACCCGCTTTGTCTATCTACTACTACTACTAAAGGGGCTATGTTCATTCTGCCTCATTCCCCATGTTAAATCCCATAAGAAATCGCTAAGGTTCATTCTGGCAATTTTTGACGCTTTCAAGGTCACGCGTCGAAGTTCGAAGTCTGGGTTATCAGTAAACATGATAACGTTTGATAACGTCGAGAATCCAAGATGGCGGCAATAGTTGACGTAAACAATGAAAAATATACGGGGTAAATGAAAA